TKGRMMMCGYTKKTYCGKCAAGGATGGGAGAAAAAAACGCCGTTAATGAGCTAGGGTCTTGTTCCCTGCGAATGAAAACGCGGGTAATCTCGTCCAATGAAAACCAATATGAGCATGAATATTCACCAACATTCATATTCATGCTCAGTCGTAATAAGGTGTGGGAAGAATGATTGATCAGCGGGCTAAGCCAAGCTGGGACAACTTGGCTTATCAATTGTTCAAGATACGACCCACGCGATATTTGGGTGGAAGGGTTCACCTCTTCGTGGCTCTGCAGAAAACTGAGTTAGAATGAATCACTTTCACGCCAAACCAGAATTTATCATCGGCAATTACGTAATTACACCGGAGACTGCTCAACTAGCCACGAAATACCCATTATTAAATTTATTTCAACTTCGCATATCATTATGAGTTTTGTAAAGTTTACGCTAATATTACACACCCTTAATTTTTCGTTACTGTAAGTAAATATTACGAGGCCAATCATCATTCTGCTCGATTGAGGCGAATGTCTAGTCATACTGCTCTAAGGAGGTTGGTCGATAAATGATTTATAAAGTGGCAAAAAAATTACACTCTATAATTTGGTGTTTTGCAAAGTAAATTGGCTAAAGCCGACTTGTATTTTTTTGTTTTGGGAATGTTGAAGAAGTGCTTTTGTATATTTTGCGCCCTCTTTGCTGCTAAGAAAAAAAACAACAACAACAAGGAAAAAGACTTTGGGAAAACTTTCATTTTGTCAAAGTAAAGTGGATCCAACAGATACAAATTGTGCGAGGAAGACTTAATTTTTCATCGGGACCACTTTTAGCGAATCGGATTACTGAAGTACCATTATCTCATGCGCCTGCCAAATCAAATTTATGATAAATTCACTTGCTCTCTTGTGGTGTTTTTTATTTTCCAGTTTCCTGATCTGAATGCACTCATCATGCGTCGGTTTAAAGGCCCTAATGATGTGGACGAAGCTCGGGAAGCAGTTGATAAGGTTCGTTGCTCTGGATTATCGTCTTCCTACCTCATTAGGAAATTCAATAGTTTCGTTAGGTTTGTTTTCCGCCTCAGGAGTCTTTGGAGGAAGGGGCGCTGGCTCCTTGCCAGGACAGTTGTTGGATATTGAGTCCATTCTTGGTGTCGGTTGACAAAGTTTGCCTGTGAGTTTGTTTCTCCAGTTTGTTAATTTCCCCAGCAACTCTTTCTTGCACCCACCTTCCTTTTGTAATATTTGCTCTGCCTACCCTGATGCCCCCACCCAAACTTGTTTGTAATCGTTTCTCATTTGGTAGCCTAAGGTCTCTCACATTCGTATCAGAGAGTTGTCCGTGCGGGGAGAGTTGGGATAATCCCTGCCGTTTTGCCGCCGCCCACTTCTTTTCGCGTGGCTTTGACTCACTCCCATCGCTTTGGGAAGAGCGCATTTTAAAAACCCATCAACGAGTGGGATCGAGCGAGGGAATCAGCTTCAGTTGTTTGGTGGGGCGTTCGAAGCACAAACTTCGTCGGTTTTTTGTGTGAAAACTTGTTCGTATTCTTTTATCTTATATATGTTTTGAATTACCTAAGTGTCTACTTGGCCTACGAAGTAGCGTCATCGGAACTGACAATGAATTTCCATGTTTTTATCTGCTAATTTGCCCTTTTTTTTTGTCAGAGCGACGGTATTGCACGCTCTTATACTCTTGCCAGTCAGTATGCTAAAGAGGCAGTCAAACAAATCAACAAGCTGTCTTCTTCTCCTCAAAGAGATGCATTGGTCACACTCACTCAGCAGATCATACAAAGACGAAAATAACCAGTTGGCGACTTCCTCTTTTTACCCCGAAAATCTTACTCTTTTATCTCAATTAAAACTCTGTCTCTGAGTCTTAAACTAATGGAGAATTGAGCAAGTAATTATAAGTCGTCTTTCTACGTGACTTTTGCTTAGAAGATTTCAAATGAACCTCTAAGGAACACTATATGAAAAAGGATTAGTCATTGATTCTGTTTTTAAATTTTAAATTATAAATAAATGTATAGTCACTTGGTTTGTGAGAATTCTTACTTTTGCGTTGCTGTCTTTTTAAAATATGACATACAGGACAGAAACTCTCGAATCACAACGACATTCCAAACGTGTAATTCAAAACTCAACCCAACGATTGCATTTCAAGCTGCTGTGTCCTCTTAAGAAGAAATAATTGTGGATATATTTTTAAGATTATCACGCGGTTGACGAATGAAGAAACTGTCGTGACGACAGACGGCTAATTCTTGTAGGCCATTAGGAAGGAGGTCCACAGTTGATTTTGAACAGAGACGTCTCATCAAGGAAGATTACGTCACAAATTTGACAGAGTTTTTCAAAACGAAAACCCATATGATTCGAGGATCGTATGAGCAGCTATTAAGTGCATTTTCTTCTATTAGCTTGGCTCAGTGCTTTGCGCCAGTGTGTGATTGGAACAAAACAAGGAGAGGGCTAACATTCCAGGCTATCTTCTTTTTTTTCACTTTGTTTAGTGGTTGCCGTTGCTTTTTGTTCTACAGGAATTCATTTTCCTCACAATTCAGCAGTCCCGTCAACAAATTCAAGTTCCACTTTACTATAGCTTAAAAAACAGCATTTAATATCACCTAATGAACACCAAGAAAAAAAATTTACAAAAGAAAGTAAAAAATCGCGGAAAATAAACATTAGGAGTGACTAAATACATCATTCGGCTCTAACTTCAAACTTTTTGAAATTCTTCTCTTGATGCTTCGTTTAGTATACAATTTTGAAACTTCCCAGAAACAGTAACAATTGAATTTAAAAAAGAATTATTTTTTACCTCTTGTTATGCAGTTGGACAGCAAGTTTTAACAGCGTACTTAAAATGTACCCTAATGATTATGCAAAAATTACAATTTATCGCTTTCAAACGCAAATGCAAAATCTGCTGAAGCATCGGTAATACCAATGTATAATCTTGATCATAAACGTTAGAATCTGTCGTTTCATATCCGACAAAACTAGCTGCTTAACAAATAACTAGGTAAAATCCTTCGACTGGTTATCCGTGCGATTTCCAGTCGACTGAAACTAAGTCTGTATGGTGATGGAGTAATCAGAATATTGATTATTCTTTAAGCTCAATGGAAATTTTCATTACGTGTCTAAGACTGTGATAGTTGTTATAACCTGTAAGGCAAAAACTGATTGAGGAAAAAAATCTGTTACTTTCTTAAGGTGTTTCAAAAAGGGTGTAAATGTAACACCCAAAAACCTGTTTAAAGTTAACAACTTCTTTCATGTTAGATTAAAAATATAAACTTTTTACATAGCTGGTCATGATCCTAATGTCACTAAATTAATGGCACGCCATGCGTGCGAACAAGATAAAAAAATATATTAAAAAAAACTAATCAAAATACCAATGTTCAGTCACGACCACTCCTATAGAGATATAGGTACCGCAGGGGTTTCTGCCCGAAATGTGGACGTTTGCAAGCAGCCGTTAGCTTCCTCGGGTTTCGTCCTTTCTCTGATACAGTTCCAATGCTCATTGCCTTAACTGAAAAATACCAGAATCAAAATTTAGCGGGAATCGTTCTGTTACTATAGATATATTTTCTTTCGGCTTCATCACAAGAAACCCTACACTACGAAACAGGTCAGATTACTTAAAGAGAAACTTGCCTTTTGCTCCCTTTATTTTTTCTCAGAAAAACGTCCTCAAGTGAATACTGCATCTTATTTTGCTCGAGGAACAACAAGAAATTGCTAACACATATGGTGAGAAAAATAATAAAAAAAAGGATCCGTGCTCACATCTTAAACTGTAATTTTGATTCTAAGCCACTTCGTACTGAAACAAGATATAGAAATAGTAGTTACATTATTGAGCATCCTTGAAATCCAATGTGACATCATCGCCAATGAGTTCAAATGGTGCCCAGTGCTTCACCTCCTTAAACGTTTCAGTTTGTCTCATACACTTCATCGCCTGATTGAGGGCTTCACTTGCCTTCTTGCCATCAGCCAGAGCATGGTAGAAGAAACTCATAAACTCCTGGGTTCCCTCGTCATCTATGGCCCCCAAGGTCACCAAGACAGATCTAGCACCGGCACCTAAAAATGTTCGCGCAATGCCAACCACACCCTCGGCCATGACCTCCCCACGAGCAGTGCGACAACAACTTAAAACAACCAGTCGAGCCCGTAGCCCAGCTTCAACGACATCTTTCATCGTTAGTAGATAGTCTTTCTCATGAGGCTGAGAGTTTTCCCTTGTGGTGTTTGGTGCCAGGAAAACTTCCCCAGTTTTCATTTTACCATGCGCTGCAATGTGTACTAAAGCAACCGATGACTGTCGTTTTAGCACTTCATCTTTTGTTGCCATGTCTCCAGTGAGGGAGGGAATACGGAAGATTCGTCCGATTATCTCCACTTCTTTCCTTGCTCCCGGTACTTGCCTCAACCGTCTTCCGTGGTAAATGATCTCTTTGATACATGGCTCCCCAACGAGCAATGCACCACTCCTCAAGTGGAACTCAGCTGGGGAATCATTTATTAGTTGTAAGGTCGTTAAGGAAGGAAGCACACGAATTCTGAGTGATTCACCTAGATGTATTGACTTCGGGTCCTCTAATGCTGCATAAGGCACAAGACAAAAAGGCCCCTCACGAACAAATGTAATCTCATTACCTAAAATGAGATCAGCAATGGGAGTAACGATGATGTTATAAAGCTTCAGTAGAGCACTTTGTTGTGAGCTCCTCGCATCAATTCGATTCAAATCGTTTCCCTCTTCCTCTATTTTCAGTGAGTCAGACGGGGGATTTTCGCCTGTAATAGGATCTCTGGCACCAATCTCCTTAAGGGTTTTTCCAGTCATTTGCTCAATGAAAAATTCCAGTTCGTCTTCATACCTATAATTGTTCAAATGTAACTTTCTCAACAGGGCATTATGGTCGCTGAAGAAAACCCAGAAGTAAATTAAAGGTCCACTAATAGCTATAAAAACTGTGCTCGATGGAACACAGCTCCGTGAAACGGATGAACCACTATTTCCTGGAAAATCTCCAGGCTGATAGGTTGTGTCCATGAGATCTCTCAGAGGTTGGGCGCGTCCTTTTTCTGCGGCGAGAAGAGCCTTATCACCTCACCTTGAACAACATTTGTACGCCACAAACCTTTGTATGCGCTATTTAATTCACGCTGATTACGAGAACAAATGTTCCACTGATCGTTGAATTGAATACTAGCCCTGATATCATCATACAATTCTACTCTCCGGTGAAAGCAATCAAATGCCCTGGTGAAATCTTGTTGGAACTCGAAACTTAGTGCTAGAGATCAGAGTGAACATGCTTCACCAGCCTTGTCACCTACTTCTTTAGTAATTTCTAAATGACGTTGATGGTACTCCATTGCTGTTTTGAACTCTCCGAGACTTTGATAAGTATTGCCGAGATTTCCATAACTCTCTCCCTCTCCGGCCTTGGCCCCTACTTCTTTGGAAATTTCTAGTTGACGTTGATGGTACTCCATTGCTGTTTTGAACTCTCCGAGACTTTGATAAGTATTGCCGAGATTTCCATAACTCTCTCCCTCTCCGGCCTTGGCCCCTACTTCTTTGGAAATTTCTAGTTGACGTTGATGGTACTCCATTGCTGTTTTGAACTCTCCGAGACTTTGATAAGTATTGCCGAGATTTCCATAACTCTCTCCCTCTCCGGCCTTGGCCCCTACTTCTTTGGAAAT